CTCAGTACACTTTCATCAGACCAGAAAGCCCAGCTTACAGCCCTACCTGCTCCTCTCAATGTGAAGAGCAGGTGGAAAAGAGTTTTGCTGGAAGAGAAGTGTCTCCTATTCATCACCAAGGGTCCCTGTACCTCAACACACCAACTGAGGAAGGGCAGCAGGATCAGTAGCCAATCGTCCATCGGGGAATTCCTGCAGACAACGTCGCCCCTCCATCATTCAACATCTGGAGAGCACCCCCAATTCGATGGGGACACACCCATGGCCAGCAGGGATCAGCAGCTCTAGCTGCGCCCCTGGGCCTGCTGGGTGGACACTGTGGTGCTTACAGGAGCCCCAGAAAAACACATCAGGAGCCTCAGCCCCACCCCCCCCGTGTGACAGGAGAAGGACATCGGCCCCCCACCCCCCTCCTAATGGACACGAGCACCTTGGACAGCTGACAGCCAACAGCAACAGGATGAAATGGAAAGCTGGACCATAAAGGGGTTAAATGTTGTTAAGCAGTTTCAAATTTAATACACTTCCGCTCTTCTACAGAACCCAAGGTAAAAAAAAAATTGAACTTCATAAAATACAACAGCAGCTGATGCCTGTAAAAAAAAAAAAAAATGGGGGGAGGGCAGGGAGGGGAGCTCGCTGGCGGGGTGGGAGAGGGAGAAATAAAGAAAAATAGTTCTCTCTATAATTATAAGATTGGGAATCGTGAGTCCGAAGCGCTGTGGGATGAGGGGGCAGCGCTCTGATCTCTCAGGGGCCGGGACACGTTCCTATGACTGCGAAGAGAAACGTCTAGACAAGGGGAGCCCCCCTCGCCCCGGCACGGCCGCTGGGCCAGGGCAGGGGCGCCCCGCAGACACGCGCTGTGTTGTGAAGACATTTCTCCTGCCGTCTCCCTCTCCCTCTCTCGGTATGTGGTCATTCCTCCCTCTCTCACTGAAGGAGGAAGAGAGGTGGTGTTGACGCCCCAGTCTGGACTACCTAGTAGTCATCCAAGTCAAAAAATTCGTCGTCGTCACCCTGGTACTCCATCCCCTGGAAATCCACTCGGTACCGCAGGATCCCTGTGAGAGAGAGGGTGAGAGAGATCAGGGTCAGCCGCAGGCCAAACAACACTACCTTACCCACTGGGAAACAACTGGAACAACTGTTACAGGTGACCACAGCCTGGCCGTAGAAACTGGTCACAGACAGACCTGACTGTCCAGAGAGGACAGGCTCAGTGACCACAGCCTGGCCAGAGAAACTGGACACAGACAGACCTGACTGTCCAGAGAGGACAGGCTCAGTGACCACAGCCTGGTCTTAGAAACTGGACACAGACAGACCTGACTGTCCAGAGAGGACAGGCTGTGCTCCCACTGCCAGCAGGTCTAGAGACACACTTTCTGCACTATGAGAAATACTCCAGGTTTAGACAAAAATAAATGACAAACGTTTATATCCTGAATTTCTGTGTTCCAATATGCACACTTGCAGCCTCGTGTCCCTTGTTTCCTTCCGCCCAGTTCCTGCAGAGCTTAAGTTGAGTTTCACAAAGGTGCTCATGAGTGCCCCCAATGAGTGCAACACAGCAGACTGAAGGGAATTACCCCATATGTGTGATATCATGTGAGGGTGTCCCACTACCCTTTTAATAAGCGAGCATCTCGAATACCCGCACACTTTAAATTCACACCTGCTCTACACAGAGGTGTGAACTTAAGAGGACACGGCCAATGTTTCCTGATTGTTACTCCTCTGACCACACTCATTCATCAGCTGTTCCAATCGAGTTCCTTGAATTTGAGAGGGCGCAGGAGAAAAGGGGTTCGAACCCCTTACAGACCCCACCACTCACTCACCCCCAATGCCGCCGAACCCCTTGACGAACTGCGAGCCCTCCTGCGACTTGTCCGTGACAATCTCCAGCGTGGCGCCGAACTTCTTGTAGTTGTTGGCGAACCACTCCAGCAGGGGCATGCTCTCGATCAGCTCGTGCTCCTGCCCCGTCTGACGGAGAGAGAGAGAGAGGGGGAACACGATCACTCACAACACCTACAGCCCCAACAGCACTGCTCTCCCACTGGACAATCCAGAGGACTTCTTCAGGGTCACTGGTGACGACTGAACCAGAAGACTAAACTACAGGGAAGAGCATTTAAAATGGAGCCCAGGAGAAACGTCTTTACACTGAGAGTAGTGGGAGGGTAGAACAAGCCGCACAGCCATTCTGATGAAACGGATATTTTGCTCTCTTTCAAGAAAAATCCGGATGACATCCTCCAGTCAGCACAGGAGGCACTTCTTTACACAAAGGGTGGTGGGTGTGTGGAACAAGCTGCCCAACCACGTAGTTGAAGCCGATACCCTGGCTTCAACAGCTGGATGATCTTTGATCAATCAGCCAGTAATGACACAGGCCAGACAGGCTTAATGGTCCCCTCCTGTTTGTAACCTTTCTGACGTTCTTAAAACCTGCTTTGGCAAGAACTTCACAACCTAGTCATGCCGAAAACAGAAGATATCAGTATTTTATTGTTCAGCGTGGCTGCAAATGCTTTTCTAATTATTGCTGGTCGTGCCAATACAGGCTGGAGTGAGAACAGACTCTCCTCACCTCTTTGTCTGTGAAGTGGGACTTGTCCTTCTCCTGCTCTGGCGTAAGGTACAAAATCTTCTCTTCTGCAAGACAAACGAGTGTCAGACAACAGGGAGACACACCAAGACACACTCCAGTGTAGAAGAGCCTGCAGCCACACAGCATGTGACATCATGATGGTTCTGACAATGCTAGTGTGCATGTGTGTGTTGGCTTGCAGTGACAGTGCAGGTGGGGGTTGTGTATGTCTAATACCCTGGGGTGATAGTGTGAGAGACCAGGATGG